CACAAACCCGCGTCCCCTGCAACGGCAGGCGGACTCTCAACCACTGCGCCACCAGGGAAGCCCCTGGTTAATTATTCTTTAATTAATATTTTAATATTAGACAAAATATATTTCAGATCAAATAAATATTACCAGGTATAAAACGGGCATTTCATAGAAATAAAAGGGTAAATTCATCAGGCGGACAAAATCCTTAATGTTTCTGCTCCTTATAAAAGAGCAAAAACTACAAGGATACAGAAGAGGTAGAACTGTAAGGAGAAAAAGAAAATTCCACAATTGTGCTGCAGACTTCAATACCCTCCTCTTAACAATGGATTGAACAATCAGAAAGAAAACCAGCAGGGATACAGTAGACTTGGACAGCACCAACAACCAACTTGATCTAATTGGTATTTACAAAACATTCCACCCACATTAACAGAATGAACATTCTTTTCAAGTGCACATGGAACAGTTACCAAGATAGACCATTTTCTGGGCAAGAAAACAAGTCTGAATAAATTTAAAAGGATTCAAGCCATGCAGAGTATATCCTTTGACCACAGTGGAATTACATTAGAAGTCAGTAACAGATAAGTGGAAAATCACCGATTACTTGGCAACTAAGTAACAAACTTCTAAATAGCCCGTGGGTCAAAGAAGACACACCAGAAAAGCTTCTGAACTAAATGAAGGAGAAATACAACATACCAGAGTTTACTGAATGCCAGAAAGCAGTACCTGGGAGTAAATTTCCATCACTGAATGCCTATATCAGGTGATGGAAGAAATTCTCACATATTGAGGTTTGGAGAAGTCATCCTGGCTTACACATGATTTGGCTTGAACTTTATCTAACTAGCACAGCCTGTCTTATGGCCTGTCAAATAGGCATCGTACATCTGCTTTAACCAGTACAGAAAAGAATGCATTTAGAAATCAAAATGGGGCAACTGTGGTTCAGGCATCCAGGATGAAGTTGGGTGGCCAGTGTGGATGTGGTTGCAGACACATTCCTACATCACTGAGAATGTGAATTTCCTGAACTGTATAAAGCTCAAGGACACCACCAGCCATTCTCAAAACCATATCTGCCAGCAGCTGCCAGCTGCAACCGTGTGGTCTCAAGGTACCCCCCCCAGCCCCACCTGTAACTATGCAACCATTTCAGACCCCAACTAATCCATGCTTAACAAGCACCCTTACTTCTTGCCACATCCAATTATAATTCCCTGTAGACAACTCATGTAACTAACTGTAACCTTGAGTTTTTTGCCTTCATACACCTCCCCCATTTTGTAGTCTGACAGAACACAACTCAAGTGCTTCTTGAATCTGTGTCTCCTGGGCTATAGTCCTCAGTTTGGGTCAAATAAAACTCTTTTCTATCCTATTTTAGACTGTTAATTAATTATTTCCATTGACATCAGGAAAGAAGAAAGATGGTCCCAACTCCAAGAGGGACATGGAGAGACAGGGCATTTATTTGAAAATAACCCACAGGGATGTAATGTGCAGCACAGGGAATACAGTCAATAATATTGCGATAACGCTGTACGGTGTGCAATGTTAAAATATCAAATCACTATGTAGTAACACCTAAAACTAATATAATTTTGCAAGTTAACTATACTTCAAGTTTTAAAAAAGGTGAAACAGGACCCTGTCAGAGGAACTGCAGGGACTCCACGAGCTGTTGCTGAGAGAGAAAAGCGAGAGGCAGAAAAATAAAATTCGAATTCTGTAAAATAAGAATGAAAAAGTCATTTCGTGTCTCTGTGTGTGTGTGTGTGTATATATATATATATATATATATATATATATATATATATATACATATATATATGTATATATATATATGTGTATATATATATGTATGTATGTATATATATATATGTATATGTATAGATACATATGGGTCTGTATAAGATTTTATAAATCTAGAGGAAAATAAGGATGTACATACTCTAGCCTGCTAACATGAGCTTCCAATGGCACTGGGCCTGAGGGTAAGGGGCTGAGATATGGGTGTGGTGAGGGAGTGTCTGCAATAAAAAAAACATGTATGATGTAATCCCAGTCATGTAAATGTGTGTGCGCATGCACATACGTGTGTGCAGAAAGAAATAGAGTATGGTCACTAAAATGTTAATGATGTGGCATTTCAGGTGACTTTTACTTTGTTATTTATATTTTTATCTATTGTTTGAATTCTTTAGAATTATATATTATTTGTATAATGAAAAAGCCATTTTAAGTATAGCAAACATTATATATTTTAAAAATTAAGGGGCAAAAGAAAAATGGAGAAAAAGAACTCTATTTTACAAAGGGTTGATCTTTATTATATAAAGAGCTTTTCCATACCTATAGAAAAAAAAAATACATCCTCCAGAGACATGTGCAAAATGACATGAACAGACAACTCACAGAAGAATAACTTTTATATAGTCAACCTCACTTAATGTTTAAAGGAACAGATATTTAAAGATCAAGCCATGAACTAGTAATCAAAATGAAGACTCCCTGTACTGGCAAGGATGCAGGGAACCAAACATTTTACAAATTGATTGGGAACGTAAAACTTTTTTTTTCTCTGGAGGACAATTTGGCAATGCAAAGCCTTAAAAATACACATATACTTTGACTCAGAAGTTCCATCTCCAGGAATTTATGCTATGGAAGTCAACAGAAAAACATACCAAAAATATTTGTACAAGTAAGTTTATGGCGCATATAAAATAATTAAAACTGAAAACGATCTAAATGACCCTCAACAGGGACAGCCACTAAGTAGAGTACAATGCAGCTGTTAAAATGATGATGCACACTTTGAGTCAAAGGTGGGGGCCAAATGCACACATGATGTTTATCTCCGTTTTCAAAAAATTCAACTGAAATAACAGAAAAATAAATAAGTAGAACTACAGCATCCCAGAAAACCTGGGAGGAGTGCTACCCGCAAGCCAGAGACGTGAGAAATTTCTGGAAGAGAATAAAGCTCAGCAAGAGATAATCTGGAGAGGACACAGTTTCGAGCCCTGGTCTGGGAAGATCCCACATGCCGCAGAGCAACTAAGCCCGTGAGCTGCAACTACTGAGCCTGTGTTCCACAACTACTGAAGCCTACGCACCTAGAGCCCGTGCTCTGCAACAAGAGAAGCCACCGCAATAAGCCTGCGCACCACAACGAAGAGTGGCCCCGCTCGCCAAAACTAGAGAAAGCCCGCGCAGCAATAAAGACCCAACGCAACCAAAAAAAAAAGAGAGATAATCTGGGGAAGCCACCTGTCCAGTACAAATCTGAAAATGAAGAATGGGGTGGGAAGAGGTGTCTGTCCCTCCTGCCCTCAGCACCAGAGTGCGTGACTCTCTGGATGTGAAGACCCCCCAACTAACTCAACACTTCACACGTGTAGTGTCCTAATCCCCCACTAAGTGCCCAAAACATAGTATGTGCTACTAGAGAATGGACTTGAGGACACGGGGAGGGGCAAGGGTAAGCTGGGACAACGTGAGAGAGTGGCATGGACGTATATACACTACCATAAAATTTTTTTTTAAAAAAACCATAGTATGTGCTAAATGAACATTGGCTGAATTAATAAACAGAAAAAAAACTCCACAGCCTATCAGTATGGGGTCTCCTCTTAGAAACAAAAAGTGCACAGGCAAACACACATCTAGGCAAAACTGCAGTCCCGACACAGAAACAGGCATTTAACAAGAGCCAACTTACAGGATGCTTGGCTGACAGTCTTCCGGTCACGGTTCCAGTCTGGTTCCACGTGGAGGAAACGGAGCCCTTTATCAGTTGGAAAGAATCAGCTTATGCTCTGACAGTGCTGTGTGAAGTCACAAACACGCTGGCCCCTTCAGCACACAACGCTCACTGCTCCGTCCAGAGAACCAGGAGCCACGGGCCCTACACTCCCAACCCAATGTCCCTGGGGTTACAAATTCCTGCATGTGATCAGGGTGAAGGAGATTCTCCCCCAGGCTGTGCAGAAGCTGCAGTAGGACACATGAGCTGACGTGCCGTGGGGGTCGCAACGTGGACTCAAGGTGGGGCTGTGCACCCCAGACCGGGGCTGTCACTTGCTGTGTGGCCGCAGACAACTCACAGAACACCTCTGACTGCAGACTCCTCATGCATGAACTAAAACAACACGTCCCTCAAATGACTAAAATATCATGTCTGGGTACAAGAAGCAGTGCTAATATGAGGTCAACGTGAACAAACTGCATGTGAAACAAACAGATGTGAAAGCACGTGGTCAGCAGTAGAGCTTCCACATGAATATGAGATTTTAAGGTATAATGTCAACTTATGCTATAGACCTAAACGATAACAAAATCATGGTTCATAGTTTCAAGAATATTAGATTATTTAAAGAAATTCTACATGTATCTGAACCCATGTGTAAGCCATATTCCCAATCATGATATCTTTTTTCTTAGCTTTAGTTACCTTTTTCATGCAAGCTAGTAATCCATCTACAAAGGTTGACTTGATCTTGTGAACCTAGATGACAAGACAAAAGTAATCACTTTCTGTGTTTAATTGTTTAAATTAGGAACAAGTGCCAAAGCAGTGTCTCACAGAGTGCTGGGCATGTGTCACTGATGTCACCTCAGGTGACTCCAGGAGGCCCTGAAATGGCCTTATGTGGTGCCCAGAATTAAATAACAATGACCAACAGAGAAAGACGTCACCCTACCCCTTTTAAAATAAACTTTGTCTTGGAATAATTCTTTTTACAGAAAAGTTGCAAAGATAAAGGGAGAGTTCCCGAGTCCCGGCACCCAGTGTGCCCCGTGGGGCCTCTCTCAGTTCAGGTGCTACCATTTACCCACCACCACCACCCCCAACCCCACGCACACACAGCTGCCCAGCCCTAACAAGGACAGCGGTAAATAACGATGGTCCGAGCGGCAGCAAGTCATACCTGTGAACAGATGGCAGGTATGTGAACAGGGAAAAGAGGAGGAGCTAGAAGCGTAGCTAGAGAGAGGGGCATGTCCATGAGTCAGTAAGTGTCAATGCGAGATGATAAAACACCACCAGGCCGGGAGAGGGAGGAGGCTTGTGTGACAGGCTTCTGAACTCGGCGCTGATGGAAGCCTAAGTCACACTGTGGCCACACGAGGATGACACACCAAATACTTCCTTCAGAATTTTTGTTTGTCCTCTTCCATTTACGACTCCTCTGATTCACAGCAGGGCTGTTTGTAGATCTGGGGAATATCATGTCTGGGTACGAGAAGCGGTGCTAATACGAGGTCCACGTGAACAAACTGCCTTCCCTTTAGGACACTGCCAGGGCAACTTCAAGTGATGATGGATCTTGTGAACAGAGACGGTGCCATATGGGCCCCCTTCATCACCAACTTACTGACAAAAAAAAAAAAAATCTAACTTACCTGCCTATATTCCAAAATTATTTTGGGTAATGGATGAAGGTCTTGCAGAGCATTTAACTACAAAATAAGAATAAATATCACCAATATAATTGCTTCATTTAATTTTAACATTCCAAACACTTATTTTCAGCTGGAAAAGTCCTAATAATAAATGGTCTATCTTGAGCATATTTTCCAAAATGAAGACTTACAATAAACTCAGTTTATCAAGCGTCTTAATTTTAATCCCTTACAGGATCATTATTGTACGCTTGGGAGCTAAAGGCACCTTCACATGAGCTCGGGATAAGATTCCTCTTGAGATTTAAATTCCTGAAATCTAAATCCAGAGCATGTAAAATACCATGTAGGACAGTAAACTAGGAAAATGCCTACAAATGTGTAACTCAGTAGTTTAGGAACCCCGACATCTGAATCACAGTTATCTGAGCATAAAGTCGGGGAGGTAATGCTGGAATATGACCGTGGGTTTTTAATTTAATTTTTAAAAAATCAAAATACAACATGCATAAAGCACAAGATCATGTAAACACGGTTTGTTAAATTATCACAAAATGAACACACCTGGGTACTGCCACCCAGAGGGAACATCCCAGGTTCCCAGGCAGGCCTCTGGCCCTCCCCCAGAGGTAACCAGTCCCCTGGCCTCCACGAGCAAGACCACTTATTCCAGTTTTTTTTTTTGTTTGTTTGTTTTTTTTTGCGGTACGCGGGCCTCTCACCGCTGTGGCCTGTCCCGTTGCGGAGCACAGGCTCCGGACGCGCAGGCTCAGCGGCCATGGCTCACAGGCCCAGCCGCTCCGCGGCATGTGGGATCTTCCCAGACCGGGGCACGAACCCGTGTCCCCTGCATCGGCAGGCGGACTCTCAACCACTGCACCACCAGGGAAGCCCTTCTTCCAGTTTTTGAGCTTTGTATCAATGGAATAGGATAGGTACTCTTTGTGTGTGGCTTCTTTCATTCAACAGTCTGGTTTTAAGGTTGGTCCTTGTTGTATAATTTACTTGCACTGCAGTATGGAATTATTTGAATGCAGGACAGTTATTTATCCATTCCACCCCTGATGGACATGTGCGCTGTTTCCACTGCAGGGCTATTACAAAGAGTGCTGCTGTGAACATTCTGGTACACAGATTTTGGTTAACACACGTCCACGGTTCTGTTGAACATGTACATAAAGAGGAGAGAGGCACTGGGTCACCTGTAGCAGAGCTGGTACCAGCCAGTTCTCCAAGGTAAACACAGTGGTTTTTGTCCCCATCAGCAGCGCATGAAAGTTCTCCTTGTTCCACATCTTCGCCAACACATGTTCTCCTAGGTCTTAATTTTAGCCATTCTGGCAAATGTGAAGTGACATTTCAATGTAGTTTTAGTGTGTATGTCCCTGACTAATGAAGTCAGACATGATTCAAATGTTTACGGACTAATTGTATATCTCCTTTCATTAAACGCTGTTCATGTTTTTTTGTCATTTAAAACGTTGGTTTGTATGTCTTTTTCTTTTTTTCTCTTTTTTTTTTCTTTTTTTGCGGTTCACGGGCCTGTCACTGCTGTGGCCTCTCCTGCCGCGGAGCACAGGCTCCAGACACGCAGGCTCAGCGTCCATGGCCCATGGGCCCAGCTGCTCCGCGGCATGTGGGATCCTCCCGGACCGGGGCACGAACCCATGTCCCCTGCATTGGCAGGCGGACTCTCAACCACTGCGCCACCAGGGAAGCCCTGTATGTCTTTTTCTTCTTGATTTGTAGGAGTTCATTTTTCTGGACAGGGTTTTCTTTACTTGGCTATATTTAGTGGAAATATCTTCTACCCCTCTGTGGCTTGTTCTTTTATTTGTTTAATAGTGTCTTTTTTATTTATTTCTTTTTTAAAATTTTATTTACTTTTGGCTGCATTGGGTCTTTGTTGCTGCACAAGGGCTTTCTCTAGTTGGGGCGAGCGGGGGCTACTCTTCGTTGCAGGTGCACGGGCTTCTCATTGCGGTGGCTTTTCTTGTTGTGGAGCATGGGCTCTAGGCGCTCAGGCTTCAGTAGTTGTGGCGCACAGGCTCAGTAGTTGTGGCTCGTGGGCTCTAGCGCACAGGCTCAGTCGTTGTGGTGCACAGGTTTAGTTGCTCTGCGGAATGTGGGATCTTCCCAGACCAGGGCTCGAACCCGTGTTCCCTGTATTGGCAGGCAGATTCATAACCACTGCGCCACCAGGGAAGTCCAATAGTGTCTTTTCATAAATGGAAATTCTTAATTTTACTATTGCCCAATTGATCAATCTCTTCCTTTATGGTTGATGCATCTTGTGTCCTGTTTAAGGATGTTTAAGTACCTCAAGGCCTTGAAGATATTCTCTTATGGTATCTTCTATAATCTTTGTTTTACTTTGTATATTTAGATGTACAATTCATTTGAAATTTATTTTTGTATATGGTGTGAAACAGGGGTCAAGATGCACTGGCCCCTTATGTAATGAGCCCTCCCTCTCAGAGAACATGCACTTCATACACACACGTGCAGGTCTGTTTGTAGATTCCCTATCCTGGACCATTGGTCTATTTGCTTATCCTTGAATTGACACTATTTCGTACTGATTAATTAATTCCTCATAATTTCTATTGCTTCATGATTAGTCTTGATAGCCAACAGCCTAAGTCCTTCAATAGTGCTTTTTCCCAAGAGTATCTTGGCTCTTCTTAGTTTTTTGCATTTCCCTACAAATCTGGGATTCAGCTTGCCAATTTCTACCAAAAGTTCCTGCTAGGGTATTAGTTAGGATCATTTTGAATCTATAAATCAACTTGGGGGAGAACTGATGACATAATTTTAATGTACTAGCATGAGCCACAGAACTGCATCACTCTCTATTTAATAGACTGAGGTCACGGAGTCTTGGCCAGCCATAGGAACATAAACAGGAGGGCCAACACTGGTGTCCTCGGAGCAGGGCTCTACCCAGGGGGAGGACTCCTGCCTCGGAGTAATCCAGAACTGCAGTTTCTCAGAAAAGCTATCCCTAGCGGGATGAAAGTGCATGAAAATACTTAGCCAAGAAAACTGCTTAAGATCAACTAACTCTCTTTATCCTGATACCTTACTCACAAAATAACTTTCTAACCACAGTCTCCCTGTATATCTCGAATCGAGCTGTCTGAGAACACTTGAAAAGGATGAAGTGTTTGATCTCATAACGCTTTGGATAAAGCCCTGCCGCGCTGGTTCATGATCAGAGGCGGAGTGCCGTGGCCGTTGCCGCTCTACAAGCTTTATCAAACGCTCCCTCTGTTGGCTCCTGACCCCGCATTCTTCTCAGCTCCCTTCTCTCTTTGTGGTCGTTCCATAGCCTCTGCTTGGCACCTCTTCTCTCTCTGACCCCTAAATGTCAGTTTCTCAGAGTTCAGTTCTGTGGTTATCAGTGCTGGCTGCTTCTAGAATCAGCGGGGGAGCTTCAAAAACATGTCCGGGGCTTCCCTGGTGGCGCAGTGGTTAAGAATCCGCCTGCCAATGCAGGGAACACGGGTTCGAGCCCTGGTCCCGGAAGATCCCACATGCCACGGAGCAACTAAGCCCGTGTGCCACAAATACTGAGCCTGTGCTCTAGAGCCCACGAGCCACAACTGCTGAAGCCCTCGCGCGCCATAACTGCTGAAGGCCGCACGCCTAGAGCCCATGCTCTGCAACAAGAGAAGCCACCAAGATGAGAAGCCCACGCACCACAATGAAGAGTAGCCCCCGCTCACCGCAACTAGAGAAAGCCCACACGCAGCAACAAAGACCCAACTCAGCAATAAATAAATAGATAGATAGATAGATAGATAGATAAATGAGACATTATTAAGCAAGACTAATCCATAAAAAAAAAAAAATGTCCGGACTGGGCCACGCAGCCCACAGACTCTGATTTTGTGGATCAGTTGTGGGCCTGGGCATGAGTGTTTTTCCAAAGCTCCTGCCAGAGTAGGGGACGACCATCCCAGGGCCATCTACTTCCAGGTGTGCATCTCTAGCACAGGACTTCTCCTCACAGACCCAACTGCTCTGTATCAATGTTTTGTGCACACATCTGTCTTCACATGTCCAAGGCTGAACACTTGACCCCCAGCCCCCGTAAACTGTTCCTCTCTTGGTTTTCCCTGGGCAGCGGTCATCACTATCTGCTCAGGTGCACAACTAAGGAAACCAGGAATTACTCTGCGTTCACACTCATGTGAACTCACACTCAGAGAAGCTCCTTTCTGTTCTCAAAATGCTCTGAGCATGTGTTTGCTCTGCTCCGTCCTCACTGGCATCGCCTGGACACTGAGCCAGCAGTGCCCACACTGCAGCGACAGCCTATTAATGGGACTCCTCCATTCTCCAACCAGTGACGAGAGTGGTCTTTTTAAAACATAGCTAACGCCTGGCAGAATGGCCACAACCCAGGACACCAACACCACCACATGCTGGCGAGGGTGTGGAGCAGCAGGGACCCTCGTCACTGCCAGTGGGAACCAGAATGGTGCAGCCACGCTGCAGGACAGTTTGGTGGTTTCTTACAAACTAAATATACTTTTACCATACAATCCAGAAATCAGGCTATTTATTTACTCAAATAAGATGGAAACTTATGTCCACGTGAAAACCCGAACACAAATGTTTTACAGCAGCTTTATATATAGCTGCTAAAACTTGGCAAGCACCCAAGATGTCCTTCAATAGGTGAATAGATAAATAAAACTGTGGTCCATCCAGACAATGGAATATGATTCTGTGCTAGAAAGAAATGAGCTGTGAAAAGACGTGGAAGAAACTTAAGTGCATATTGCTAGCTGAATCAAATCTGAAAAGGCTACATAATGTATAATTCCTATATGACATTTTGGAAAAGACAAAACTATGGAAACAGTAAAAACAGTGGTTGCCAGGGGTTGAGGGGAGAGATGAATAGGGAGAACAGAGGCTTTTTAGGGCAGTGAAACCACTCTGTTCGATACTCTAATGGTGGATACATGTCATTACACATTTGTCCAAACCCATAGCCTGTATAACACCAAGAAGGAACCCTAATGCAAACTACAGACTTTGGGCAATGATGATGTGTCAGTGTGGGCTCATCAGCTGTAACAAATGTAGCCCCTGGTGGGGCATGTTGATGGTGGAGGAGGCTGTGTGTGTTTGGGCTGGGGAGGGGGTATATGAGACTTCTCTGTACCATCTGCTCAATTTTGCTGTGAACCTGAAACTATTCTAAAAAACAAAGTCTAATAAAACCATATCTAAGCTCATAGTTGCGCCCTTACTTGAATTGTTCCAGGCTGTCCATCTCACCAGAAGACCACATCCCTTCCCATGGGGAGGGGAACAGGAAGGGAAGTGGGAAGGAGTCCTAATTTTGAATTGGGAACCATGTGCACATGTTGCCTAGTGCAGGTTCATCTTTTCAAATGTACAGAATAGTGTGACTTGTTCAGCTAAGTAAGAGATTAAAGCTAATATAATATGATATAATACGATTCATGTTGATTACGTCTTTGTGAAGAAAAATTCAGGGCATTGTCTGAATTCTGTGCACAGTGAAGCACCTTGACACCAGAGGAGAATCACATTTCCTCTCTTCTGTTGTTGGTTGTCTGGGAGAGCTAAGGAGTAGCAAAGGGAAGGGCAACACTGCCAGCTGGTGCCCAGATGGAGAATAAATCAGGCCAAGACCCCCAGCTCAGGTGCAGTCCAAGTGGAAACGTGTGCTTTCCCAGGTTCTGCCACCCCTGGGACTTGAGGGCACACTGCCACGTGGCGTTGAAACCCACTCCAGAGTCTCTCCAGCAAGGTGGGTCCTGCCCCTTGCCCTCGCTGTGCTCTGTGAACACACAGCCGACAGTTCAGCCCCAGCAAGTGCTAGTTCTAGGCCATTTGGTTCTGGGGATGTAGTGAACAAGTCAGAGGAAGTCTTTGATCTGTGCAACCTACATCCTACTGGAACAAGCAAACAAGTGACTAGGTAGCTTTATTTTTATTTTTTAAAATTTTATTGGAGTATAGTTGACTTACAGTGTTGCATTAGTTTCAGGTGTACAGCAAAGTAATTTGGTTATACATATCATATATTCCTTCTTTTTAAGATTCTTTTCTCATATAGGTTATCACAGGATACTGAGTAGAGTTCCCTGTGCTATACAGTAGGTCCTTTGGTTTTCTATCTTATATACAGCTGTGTGTGTATGTTCATCCCAAGCTCCTGATTTATCCCTCCCCCCCCCCATTTCCCCTTTGGTAATCGTAAGTTTGTTTTCAATATCTGTAAGTCTGTTTCTGTTTTGTAAATTAAGTTCATTTAAATCATTTTTTAAAAATTAGGTTCCACATATGAGTGATATCATGTGTATATACCTTTCTCTGTCTGACTTACTTCACTTACTATGACAGTCTCTAGGTCTATCCATGCTGCTGCAAATGGCATTATTTCATTCTTTTTTATGGGTGAGTAATATTCCATTGTATATATGTACCACAGCTTCTTTATCCATTCCTCTGTTGATGGACTTTTACGTTGATTCCATGTCCTGCCTATTGTAAACAGTGCTGCTATGAGCACTGGGATGCATGCACCTTTTCTGACCATGGTTTTCTCTGGATAGATGCCCGTGGGACTGCTGGATCATACGGTAGTTCTCTTTTTAGTTTTTAAAGGACCCTCCATACTGTTCTCCACAGTGGCTGTACCAACTTACCTTCCCACCAGCAGTGTAGGATGGGTCCCTTTTCTCCACGCCCTCTCCAGCATTTTGGCAAGTTGTGTGTAGAAAACAAATCGAGGTGAAGGAATAGGTTGTGGCTGGGGGGTCTTACTGTCACCTGTGACCAGAGGAGGCCTTTCTGGAAGCAATACTTAAGCTGACAATCAGAAGCCAGCTGGGCACACTCCATGGGGAGAGTTTCCAGACTGAGGAAGGAGCCTGTGGGAAGTGTGCTCAGTGGGGCGCTGGGAGTGAGGAGTGAGGGAGGTCAAAGAAGGGCCAAGTCCAGACCCAGGGCCTGGGGGAGGCACACTCGAGAGCTTGGATGTTATTCTAAGTGGCATGGAAAGCCCTGGGGAACTTCCCTGGTGAGTGGTTGGGAGGTGTACAGCAAAGTAATTTGGTTATACATATCATATATTCCTTCTTTTTAAGATTCTTTTCTCATATAGGTTATCACAGGATACTGAGTAGAGTTCCCTGTGCTATACAGTAGGTCCTTTGGTTTTCTATCTTATATACAGCTGTGTGTGTATGTTCATCCCAAGCTCCTGATTTATCCCTCCCCCCCCCCATTTCCCCTTTGGTAATCGTAAGTTTGTTTTCAATATCTGTAAGTCTGTTTCTGTTTTGTAAATTAAGTTCATTTAAATCATTTTTTAAAAATTAGGTTCCACATATGAGTGATATCATGTGTATATACCTTTCTCTGTCTGACTTACTTCACTTACTATGACAGTCTCTAGGTCTATCCATGCTGCTGCAAATGGCATTATTTCATTCTTTTTTATGGGTGAGTAATATTCCATTGTATATATGTACCACAGCTTCTTTATCCATTCCTCTGTTGATGGACTTTTACGTTGATTCCATGTCCTGCCTATTGTAAACAGTGCTGCTATGAGCACTGGGATGCATGCACCTTTTCTGACCATGGTTTTCTCTGGATAGATGCCCGTGGGACTGCTGGATCATACGGTAGTTCTCTTTTTAGTTTTTAAAGGACCCTCCATACTGTTCTCCACAGTGGCTGTACCAACTTACCTTCCCACCAGCAGTGTAGGATGGGTCCCTTTTCTCCACGCCCTCTCCAGCATTTTGGCAAGTTGTGTGTAGAAAACAAATCGAGGTGAAGGAATAGGTTGTGGCTGGGGGGTCTTACTGTCACCTGTGACCAGAGGAGGCCTTTCTGGAAGCAATACTTAAGCTGACAATCAGAAGCCAGCTGGGCACACTCCATGGGGAGAGTTTCCAGACTGAGGAAGGAGCCTGTGGGAAGTGTGCTCAGTGGGGCGCTGGGAGTGAGGAGTGAGGGAGGTCAAAGAAGGGCCAAGTCCAGACCCAGGGCCTGGGGGAGGCACACTCGAGAGCTTGGATGTTATTCTAAGTGGCATGGAAAGCCCTGGGGAACTTCCCTGGTGGCACAGTGGTTGGGAATCTGCCTGCCAATGCAGGGGACATGGGTTCGAGCCCTGGTCCAGGAAGATCTCACATGCCATGGAGCAACAAAGCCCGTGCGCCACAACTACTGAGCCTGCACTCTAGAGCCTGCGAGCCACAACTACTGAGCCCACGTGCCACAACTACTGAAGCCCGTGAGCCTCGAGCCCACGTTCCACAAAAGAGAAGCCACCACAATGAGAAGCCCATGCGCTGCAACCAAGAATAGCCCCCACTCGCCCCAACTACAGAAAGCCCATACACAGCAACGAAGACCCAGCACAGCCAAACAAAAAAAAAAGAAAAAAAGAAAGTCATTGAAGTTGAAGGCAGGGGATCAACAAGACTTTTCTAACACTTTTAAAAGATCATTCTGCCTGGATGTGACGAGTCACCAGCAGGGGTAAGCTCACTGCTGGCTCCCAAGGACCAGGAGGGGGACACTGGCCAAGGTGCGGAAGACTTGGGGAAGAAAGAAGGGGTGGGTGTTCACTCGGTGACTGATGCCTGGGCCCCGAGGGCCAGGTGTGGGGGCAGTTGGCAAGCGTGGTGCCCCACCAGGGCTGAGACGAGCAGGAAGTGCGGGGCTGGAAGGGCGATGTGCACAGAGGAGTCTGGAGGGAAGCGTTCCTCGGCTGCAAAATCCAACGCTGAACAAGGCACAGAAAGGATAAGGTGGAGCCTCCACAGCCGGCCCTCAGCAGAGCAACACGTGCCCTCTCGCCCACTGGCCAAGCTCCTCGCTGCAGGCTTCCAGCGGTATCATTATACTCACGGGGTTCTGAATATCTATTCACACTCTGCCATTTGATTAAAGCAGCATCTCACTACACCCTGTCGTTTAAAAAATGCATTCCTCTCAAGGGAAGAGCAGCTAAATTTTTCTAAAACAAACTTGGGGAAAGGAGAAGACTGATGACTTTTCCCATTTCCAGCCTCTTATGAGGGCATGAAACAAAGAAGTCATGACCTACACTGTCAAGAATTTGGTTTCCAGAACAAAATTCCATCAAATTATCCTCTGCAGGAAATCAAGGCAATTTACTGCCTCTGGAAAACTGTACCATAAGCCTCTTTGTCCTTCCTTCATAACTGAAGGGCAACCTTGGGGTGCGGGCACCTCTCCCGCCGCAGAAAGGAAGCAATGGAACGGAACTGCTCCGTGGTGGTTGCTGCCGGCTTGTGCCACCACAAGGAGCACGGGGCTCTGCAAGGGACTCGCACGTGGTGGGAGGTGCTATTGTCTAGGAGAGTGAGGGGACACTTGTCGACCCTTACCACGGCTTCTGATGTGGACGGGTGTCTCCGGAGCCCAGTTTTGGGAAGAGTCTCCTGTGGACGCAGCAGGTGCAGCTGCAGCTTGCCAAACAGGATCTGCAACAAAAGCCATTTCACGTGATGAGTGGGTCCCAGATTTGAGAGGACCTGAACATCACTATAACAGAGTTAAAGCAACCAGCCAGAGGGGACACACCTGACTAGGTGTGACAAAATGCTTAGATTCTGATTCAGTACTTTTCTTAGATGTAAAGGCTTTGAAGTAATGAATCTCAGTGTGAAAGACATGAACAAGTTACATACTTTTCAGATGATCACATAAAATAATATTTATAAAATCATGTTTATAAAATCAGAATAAATCTCCCTTTAACCCCTGAACAGGAAGTATATTTAATAAAAGAACTGAAATTTAGCTTTACCTCTCGAAGCTGATTACTGCTCGTTATAAGAAACTGTTCTCCTGCAACAAAATGGGCTTCTTGCTCCAGTTCCTTGAGACGAGACTATGAATGTGACAGACACAATGTTATTAATAATTTTCACAACTTAAGATTATTTTTCTCAACATGAGATCTTGCAAGAATAAAAAATAATCTAAAATTTACCGAAACGGACATTACAAAATACATATTTTGACTCATGATGCAATACTCAGGCTCAGAATCGCTCTCTTAAGTGCAGTGACCCAAGGAAACAAACTTTAAAGAAGTAAAAATAGTAAATAACACACCAAGATGAAGGAGGGGAAGAAGGAATTCTCCAGCAACATTATGACAAGTAAACGGATCCAGCGTCAAACCATAAACCTCGAAACTTCCAAAGTATCCCAAGGCAGAAGAGCTAGGACCAAACTGCATGGTGACCACAGTGATCATGATGTAGGACATTCCCTCCCAACAGAGGAGCAGCTGCAGCGGAAACAAGCAACAACGCTCTGAACAACCACACAAACTGGGGCACAGCCCAGGGCGAGGCGTGGGAGGCATGCAAGGCCCAGGTGGGAAAAGACAAAGGTACCTTATGAAACAGCTGATAAATACGGTGCTGAGCAGAGCAGTAGGACATGCTGAATTTATGAACCCCTCACCCCCTCACCATTTTGGTCAGAAGAAAAGTAGAACATGACCAGGACTTTTAAAAAATTATTATAGGGGCTTCCCTGGTGGCACAGTGGTTAAGAATCCACCTGCCAATGCAGGGGACATGGGTTTGAGCCCTGGTCTGGGAAGATCCCACGTGTCGCAGAGCAACTAAGCCCGCGAGCCACAACTACTGAGCCCACGAACCACAACCACTGAAGCCCACGCACCTAGAACCCGTGCTCCAAAACAAGAGAAGCCACAGCAATGAGAAGCCCGTGCACCACAACAGAGTAGCCCCTGCTCACTGCAACTAGAGAAAGCTTGCATGCAGCAACGAAGACCCAATGCAGCCAAAAATAAATAGATAGATTTACATATTAAAAAAAATTATTATAAAAGAAAAGAGAGCGCGGAGTCTAAACCAACCAACTCTGAGGAAATATCATCTGCACTCTGCCTTTATCAGACAAGAACTGCCTTTCGGCTGAAATACTGAAAGACGTTTACAAATAGGAGCAGGACAAGTACGATACAAAAAACTAGCACTAGGCAAAAAGAAGAACCCACAGACAATGGCCTCAGTTAAGGTATGCCAGAATTCTATAGTCCAAGAAACAAATGATGAAACGAAAAACAAGGAACAAAGCATGAAAAAACAGATAATGGGGACTTCCCTGGTGGTCCAGTGGCTAAGACTCCACACTCCCAATGCAGGGTGCACGGTTTGATCCCTGGTCAGGGAACTAGATCCCACATGCCGCGACTAAGAATTCGCATGCTGCAACTAAGGAGCCCACCTGCCGCAACTAAGACCTGGCACAACCAAATAAATAAATAAAATATTTTTTAAATGTGGCTTTTTCTTATTGACAGGAGTTATCTATATAGTCTGCATACGAGTCCTTTATCACATGCATTGAAAGTACAATCAAAATCCCAGCTGGTTTTTAAAAAGTAGATCAGAGAATTTTATCTGGAAATGCAAAGAGCCTGGACTGACAAATACCATGTGGAAGAACAAAGATGGAAGGCTGTAGGGTATCACGACATATTATAAGCCTACAGTAACTGAGCCAGGGGAGTACTAGCACAGGGACAGACGCACAAAACAAGAAAACAGAAAAGAGTCCAGAGAAAACCCCCCACACACACAGTGACCTGATTTATGACAAAGACACTACTGTAATTCTTAGTGCAGGAAACAGTGGCACTTTTACTAAATTGTGCTTAAATGAATGGAAATCCATCTGGGAAAAATCTTAACTGTACTTTATACCATGCAGAAAAATTAATTTGAAGTGGAGGATAGGCTTAAAATAACACAGCTTATACAAGAAAACACAGGAGAATATCTTTACTAGAGGGCAGACAAAGAGTACTTAGCACAGAAAAATTCTCAAACATTTAAGAAATGGTTCATTGGACTTCATGAAAATGAAGAAATTCTGTTCATCAAAGGTCACGGCTATTGAGAGAGTAAAAAGACAAGCTGTAGACAAAGACAGGGCCAGACAGTAAATACTTCAGACTCTATGGGTCACATATGGTCTCTGTCACATATTCTTCTCTACTTTTGTTTGTTTTTTAAAAATTGTAACAACCATTCTTAATTTCAGGCCATATGAAAACAGGCCACAGGATGGATTTGGCCTATAGACCACTGTTTGTCAAACCCTGGACTGGGAGAAAGTACTTTCAATATATCTTAAAAAGGACCCACATACAGAATATATAAACAATTCCTATAAGTAAATAAGAAAAAGCTGACATAAACTTTTAAATAGGCAAATTCTTTGAAAAATTGGATCACAAAAAGAATATATCCAAAATACCATCAAGCATATGAAAAGGTGCTCACTATTATTACTTATCAGGGCAATGCAAATGAAATCCACAATGAAATGCGACTACAGACCCACCAGGATAGCTAAAGTGAAAAAGGCTGACAGTACTGCGCTGGTGAGGATGTAGCAAATGGGACTAGAAAACGTGATAACCAATTTGAAGAGCTATTTGGAAGTACCTACTATCGCTAAGTATACGCATACCCTGTAACCCAGCAATTCCACTTCTGGACAGAAAACCAAGAGACAAGAGCTCTCTTATCCACCACAGGTTATCGTTACACCACATGAATAGTCGCAGCCACTGCGATCACAGTGCCCAACAATGGGAGAGGGTGTAAGGAAATTATGGCACCTTCTTACAATAGGTGCTACAAGCAATTTTTATTGGCATGCACTTCTGCTACATTCAACCAAATTGGTGAATCCCACAGATAGAATGTGAGCAAAAGGAGCCAAAACCAAAGGGCCCATGCTGTGTGGTTTACACGAAGCTCAGAATCACCAAGGACAGGGTCAGACGAATGGCTATCTGGGAGTACAGACTGGGAGGGGACAGGAAGGAGACTTCCGGGTGCTGGAAATATTCTATACCTTGATCTGGGTGGAGGTTACATGGATGTGTACATATATAAAAATACGTCAAGCTGTACACTTAAGATTTGTACCAAGCAGATTCAGGGAAGATGGCAGAGTAGGAGGCGCCTGCGAGGTGAGACTCCATCTCCCACCTGGACAGCAACTGCAGGGGAAGAACCCTCTGATGTAACTGTCTGGGAACTCTGGAGTCTGCTGGTGGCTTCCAGGCAAAGCCTTGGATGGTAAACTGCAGTTCATTTTGGTCACTTTCAGCTCTTGGTACCACAGAAGCTACCCACCCCACCTCCCCCAGACAGGAGGCCCGAGGCCAGGAGGCCATGCACCTGTTTCTGGAGCAGCCTGCCCACAGCCTGCAGGGACTGGTGGGGCAAAAAAGACCCTGTACAGATATTGGGGGCCTCTGCTCTGATCACTGATTGCTGCTTCTGATCACAGAGGTGCAGATGAACAGGCCACCGTTGTTGCACTTCTCCCATTATTGCAAGACCCTCCCCCTCCAGCTGAAGTGACTTCCAGGGGACTTACAGGGCCAGTGCCCTTTTTAACCCCTCTGCATTTTTTGCTTTTTCTCCTTTGAAGCCAGATATTAAAGACAAGGACATTCAAAAATAACTTCACATACATGGGGAAAATTAGAAAGTGACCGTGCATCCAAGGAAAAAGCTCAGAAAAGAGCTGTGAAGACCTTAGGTTTATACTTTAGGTTGGTCCTCAACACAGAGACAACCTACAGCAAATTAAAAAACCCAAGACAATAAACAGAAACAATAACACACAGAAAGAGCAAACTGTGGGAAAGGAGAGAATCTGATTTCCAGAGTTACCACATTATGAGATCCAAATGTCCAATGTTCAACAAAAATATCACAAGACAAACACAGAAACAGGAAAATATGGTGTATTCAAAGGAAAAAAAAAACAACAGAAACTATCACTGAAAAACAAGACCTAATGGCAGATATATACCAGACACCTTTAAGACCACCATCTTAAAAATGCTCAAAGAACTAAGGAAAGGTGTGAAGAAAATCAAGAAAACAATGTGTGAACAAAATAGAAATATTAATAAAGAGACAGAAAATGTAAAAAGAAACTAAAAAAGCAATTTTTGGAGCTGAAAAGTATGATAATTGAAATTAAAAAGTCACTTGAGGGTTCAGAAGAAAGAATCAGTGAACTTGAAAAGAGAATAATGAAAATTATTGAGGCTGAGGAGCAGAAAGAAAAAAATATTGAAGAAGAGTGAACAGAGCTTAAGGGTCCTGTGGGACACCATCAAACAGACCAATATACACACTGTGGGAGCCCCAGAAGGAGAAGAGAAAGAAAAGGATAGCAAGAATATTTGAAGATATAACAGCTGAAAACCCCTCAAAAAGTTTTTTACATCTTTGTTGGAGTATAACTGCTTTACAATGTTCTGTTAGTTTCTGCTGTATAACAAAGTGAATCAGCTATATGTATCCATATATCCCCCATGCCCTCCCTCTTTTTTAAAATAAATTTATTTGTTTGTTTGTTTGTTTATTTTTGGCTGTGTGGGGTCTTTGTTGCTGTGCGCAGGCTCTCTCTAGTTGTGCGAGTGGGGGTTACTCTTTGTTGCGGTGAACAGGATTCTAATCGTGGTGGCTTCTCTTGCTGCGGAGCACAGGCTCTAGGTGCACAGGCTTCAGTAGTTGTGGCTCACGGGCTCTAAAGCGCAGGCTCAGTAGTTGTGGTGCATGGGCTTAGTTGCTCTCTGGCATGTGGGATCTTCTCATACCAGGGCTTGAACCCGTGTCCCCTGCATTGGCAGGCGGATTCTTAACTACTGCACCACCAGGGAAGTGCCCTCCCTCTTAAGCCTCCCTCCCACTCTCCCTATCCCACCCTTCTAGGTGGTCACAAAGCACCAAGCTGACCTCCCTGTGCTATGCAGCTCCTTCCCACTAGCTACCTATTTCCTGCTGTGATTTATGTCATAGAGTGTTCTGCCTA